TAGGGAGAATTAAAGCCGCTTCTTGACTTGACTTGATTTGAGGGTATGAAAACCCTAACCAGGAGTCTGGGTCACATAGGTCCCGTTTGGCTTCCTGGATGGGGACCTCGGGATGATCATACCCGATGGTTAGAGACAGTGAGTGATATGGCCAGGTGTCGTAAACAGTGGCGTTGGTGCATCTTCTCGATTTCTCTGCAAAATTAGTGCAATGAAATCCTAAATTTTCTCTTCGATCCTACTTTCATCCTTTCCTTTCCTCATGTTCATTCAAATTGGCAGCCAAAATACGGGAACAAATACCGGCGCGTGATAGTGCATGATAATGCATTGACCACATAGCTGTAAGCTACCGTTGGCGTGGTTCAGTACAAAATTGCAGATCCTATCGGACCACCTGCGTCGAGTAGGACCATGCACTAGTTCTGTTATGCTTCACTATTCGACTCATTAGTCATCGGCAGAAATCGCCTTCTCAGTTAGCTCCTCATCGTCTGCGCGATCCAGCTGTCTGCGCATGTTATGAGAAGCTGGGACAGGAACTAGGAGAATCGCGACATAGTGGAGTAGACTAAAAGTGTAATCAGATTAGATTCGCGATACACTCAGCAGCAAGCTTTGCTTGTGGGACTGAGTCCGAAGTTCGCCTAAGGCATTGGATTTCTCAGAATTCAGTAGTCTTGATGGATAAAAAGTGAAAGATCCCAATCTGCAAGAATCAACATGAGGACTGGCGTCACCTGAAACGTTGACTTTGGAATAGCCTTAAGAAAGATCGCGAAAATCGGTGGGCCAAAATTGCTAGTGAAATGGAGGTAGCTTCTACATCAGGGAATAGTCAAATACTCTTTCACCAGATACGCATCACCGGGGGTCATTGCATACCGGTCAGTGAAACCACTTGAGATAAAAGTGGACAGAGTATCCACAATAAAGAACGAGTCGATCGCTGGGCACAGTACTTATTGAACAAATCAATTGGCCCAATGCTTATATGGTCAATCCAGCAATAGCGCCCGAAACCTCATGGGAGGTAGCATGCGAGCCTCCATCAGAATCAGAAGTACAAAACTGTATTCAATCATTAAACAAAAAGAAGGCAGCGAAATCTGATGGGCTTCTTATTCTTTTCAAGGTGGGTGGTGATTCTTTTGTTGACTCAGTTACTAGCTTATTTCGCAGCATTTGGTCGGAGGAGCGTATTGCTTTAT